GGAGTTATGATTTTTTGAAAATAGGTCAAATTTGACCTTTGACCTATCATAACTCGGTCAAAAATTAAGATATTGATCTGCGGTTTGCGCCAAAATTCTTAGTTTTTTATGCTCTTTCGATGGAGGTATCACAAGATAGGGGATGCCATTTGAAAAAAAAAGTTGGGGGCCCCCCGCGCCCCCCTGATGGGAAACCAAAATTTTGACCCCCCCAAAAGATGGTCCCCTTTGAGATAGGAACATTCCCAAAGTTTCATTACCCTAGCTCAATTCGTTCAAAAGTTAGCAGGGGTGGGACAGACTTTTGGTACACCCTGTATGAATAACGTTTACGTACAGATTATGTAACGCATTAATAGACATAAAGCCTTGTGAAATGTATAACTTTTAAATAAAATTCGTATAAAGGTTTTGTAACTCATTAAACAAAAATCTGGCGCATTGAGAGTTGTCGTAAAGGTGTGGCCTTTATATGAATAACGTTGACAGATTGTGTAACGCATTGATGGACCTGAAGCTTTGTGAAATGTATAACCTTTATATAAGATCTGTATAAATCTTATATAACTCATTATACGAAAAGCTTACGCGCTGGAAGTTTTCGGAGAGGTGTACCTAGCCTTTATCAGGGGTTGATAAAACGCCTCCTCTCCAAAATTAAGCGGGATTTGGACTAAGGTGGTTTCCACAATTTCGAATCCCCCCCTCCCCCTATTTTTGCTTGTCACTTTATCTACAGAGATCTGTTGGTGTAAATACTGCAATGATTAAAACGACAATGATCACATTTCAGTTGGATCTGCACAGATGCTGACGTGCGTTTCAAGAAGCGCGCCTCATATTGGTTGGGTAGGCAACAGGCAATGTTCCCCGCGCATAGGATTTTCTTTGTAACTGCGCATAGAAATGATTAATATTTTTCTAAAAAAATCAATCGTCTACTGCCCAGTCTGGAAAAATGAAAAATCGCGGTAGTGTTAAAAGAAAAAGCGCGGAAACGAGGCACCTGGCAATGGCCGGCTTCTGTTCAACTGACTGTTTTTGACAGAATATTACACGGGAAAAGAAATAAAAAATCAGCGAGAGGGAGGCAATGGGAGTCTTGTGGGACCCGACAAAAAATTAGTTTCCCTATGCACATAAGTGTTTTTCCAGAAGAGCCAGAATTCATAGTTCCAAATTGCAAAATGCAGTCCATATGTATTAGGAACTTTAAAAGGTTACAAAACCCAAAATTAATTTGTGACGTATTCAAAAGGCATAAACTTTAAGTGAAAAGGCTTGAAAGGCGAATATTTGTTGTTTTTCTTCTTTCATTAATGAAAACTTTGAATAAAATAGGTGTATAGGTACTGCATATAAACACAAATGGAAGCTTGATGATCGAAATTGTTGGGTGCCTGGTATTTCAGAAATCATTTATTGAAGCAGTTTCATACTGCTCTCCCACCCCTCTATCCTGCCCCCTTCAGCAGAGTCCAAAATAAAAGGAGGAAAAAGTCCAGCGTTTACTGACTTAAAGTCTACTTAAAGGAGCTTGCCAATAATTAGCAAGTTTGATCACTTTATACTCTTTCACTTTTTGAACTAGGGCTTGTCAGGCACAATGTATATGACCAACCAGATGTCAATGTAAATCTTGTGACAGAGAATAGTCTCAGTCTGAGTTTTGGATCAAGCAAACAAATTTTAGCCGGAGTTTGACGACATCAGATCTAAAAATTGTCACTGAAAACATACTGACTGAAAAATCTCACTTCAAAGAAAGTAGGAAGTATGTTGGCGGTTCTTTTGTTTTCCTTCAAAACTTATGTCAACTTTTGAAAATTTTCAATGTAACTACCTACCTAGGGGGCGAGATACTCTGATAATGTGCGTACTCTTAAAATCAATCCTGTATCTTTTCCAAAGAGTTGAGTTCCCTTGAGTTAAAACTTCCTACAACCTATTAAACTTCGTGAACCCGTAAAAATATGAACATCATGGATAGGAGAGGATATCTGCACTTTAACAGACTGTTTTGAATAAATGGGTCCTTCGCATAAGAAACATCTGCCAACTCAAGGCGAATTCTTACTTCGTTGCGTATCATTGTTGTGAATGCAAATTCTTACAGTAACTATTTATTCTATGTTACAAGCTCTTCAAGGTAACTTCTAGCTTCATCATACTCCTCCAATAGTTATTTTCTGATAATGCTTAGTATAGAACAGTTCAGAGTGCCTACCCAAGGCTGAGCAATAGCTCGGTGAGAGTAGTGTAGTGTTAAGTACTGAGTTCTGTGTCACTGTCAGTGAATTGATGACATTTTTCAGTCCCCAAACAAATAAGAGTGATTAATCTCCAACAATCTAAGGAAAAACTGAAGCAGGTGGAGAAGAAAAAAATAACCCAAACAAAAAAACATACCTGTATCAGTGCTTCCCATATACAACCAGCAACAAAGAACACAGCTTTCACCGCACATATATCACTTGAACCCATGACCCGCGCGTGTAATGAAGGTTGCTCCATAAATTTTCGGAATATTTTCTATCCCGGGAGCGGTAAGCATAATCTGAATAATGTACGGATTTAAGAAAGTTCATATCAACACTTCGGTTCAGCCAAGAAATTTTCGGTTCACCAACTCCAGACCACATTTCTCATTATAGGTTATGTTTACGCAGGGCTGCCATCAAATGGAACATACGAAATAGTGCGAGTCCTCCATAAAGATATTACGAAATTTCAAAGGAGTCACTCACTTTTTGTGTTATTCATTGGGTAAGTCGACAATTTTTTTCTTAAGACTACAAAGATTTACTCGTGTTCCGCGAAGACACCGAAATAATACTGTTATCGAAATCGAATTGAAGGATACAATTTTACTACAGTAACTTCCTGTGGCAGCCCTGTGCCCCGTGATTTGGCGGATAAAGAACAAAGACCAGTCGTGGTCGTCGGGAATTCGGTGCCGGTAACAGTGAGTGAATGTTCTGGAAAATCAGCTTGAAATTTTGAATTTGAATCCTCGTGTTCTGGGAAACAAGTAATAAGTATGAAATTTTGACTTCTCATATCCTCGTGAAGAATCTACGGCGTTCCATCCAGAATTCTTGTTTCAGACGGCTCCAAAATGAGTGTAAGTATCTATCTGACCACTTTCTTATGATTTGATGTACATAGTCATTTACTTCTCATTTAGGCTTCCTATTTCTCTGGAAAGCAACCATGAAAATTTGCCATGACCAGGACGAATTTGAACAACCATACTAGTACAGCACGGAAGGAATTAGGAATGAAGCACACAACCAGATGCCTGATTTTGGAAATTGACTCTCACTCTTGTCACACGAAGAATATTCGTTACCTGTAAGAATGTCAGACACAAATTTTGCTTCTCAACATAGTTAGCGGCTCGTGGCGACAACGTCTTCAGCAGCCCGACCACATACTTTGACTTCCATCGATATTGATAGAACTCAATTCCATTCCAATGGAATACCCCTTTGGAATGGAACTGAGTTCTATCAATAACGATGGAAGTCGAAGTCTGTGGTCGGGCTACAGACCGGAAGTGTCTAATCTCCAGCTCAGGATCAGGAGACCAATTTTTGTTTCCGGCTCATGATGTGTGACCTTGTATTGATCTGCGATGAATGCCCGGAACATTATATGGAACATCTGACTCTAAACAAAATGTAGCTGTGTACGACATAGCTGAGAGGTCAATAAAATTTTTTCAGTGTTAGTTGCATGCACATTTTACACTTTATGCTACACTGAGGTATATTGCCCCATACGAATCAATAATTTGTTAGCCTTCCCCACATGAACTGTCTTCATTGACGTTGGCTTTGAGCTTCGTTCTTTTCTGTCAACGTATATTTAACTTCTTGTTATCGAAATATCTCACATGCCAATGCATTTGTAATCTAACGGTGAAGCACGAAATTGAAAGCACATGGTCATCATTTGACGCGAGTGTGTACTATAGGGAAGATGTATGAAAGCAAGTGAGGGTTTACTGGCCTCAATTGCGAATATCAGCAAAGTTTTAGGTCATAAGCATCCGATAGCCATGTCAAGAGCATTTTCTTCGAACATTTTACCAATGAAGAATGAAAGTTTTTAATTTGATGCTTACAAATCCTGAAAACCATGCTTAGCATCCAAATGATTATTTCCGTTTTAGACTGGTAAGCTTTCCCCTCAAATCATTTTAATTACAGTGCAATTTTTGACTGTTTTGAAACTTGTGATTGACTATGTGCATACATACGCTCGATACATACATTTTTTAGTTTTCAACCTAACCCTCCTAGTATCTGCTGTTGTTTCATCAGTCCCATCAAGCCCCCCTGATAAGTTCTTCGGTGACTGACTTCCAAGAGTCTGCAGCATGTCTGTTTTGCATTGATGTTTTGGGAAGCATATGAAGATGCTCTCTTGTGGGGAGGACCGTATTTGTCCATCTATTCTCACCCAAGGTCATCATTTCAGGGGTCTGCACGGAAACGCCGTACTACTCGAGAGCCCCAAACAAGGCAGGGATTGCACAAGAAATTGCGTAGAGACTTGCGTAGAGATGACACACCAGAAGACGATGCACTTTTAGCGCTGACTTCAAGTTTTTCATCCTGCACTGTTGATTCATCTGTAGAAGGGAAGCTATCCAATCTTAGTCATGATGAAATCACCGAGCAGCTCAGTTTGAGCGATTCTTCTAACCATGCTGCTCCTCTTTGCGCTAGTACTCCTTGTAAAAGTGGTAGTGAGTCTTATAACCCTAATCAAAGTAGTAGTACTCCTTGTAAAAGTGGTAGTGAGTCTTATAACCCTAATCAAAGTAGCATCGTTGAAGGCATCTTTAATGAGTCATTTCCCGCAGCAAATTTGTCTATTCAACTTTTTACTGATGAAGCGGAAGTTCAGTGCACCGAAAGTTTAGAAAATTATGTTGTAATTGACAAGTCTCCAAATGATGCAGGCGAGTTTGATGCTCTAGGAGATCTTGATGTTGTAAATTTTGACGTCCCATCGGATAACTATGTAGTGGCATCAGATGATGAAGATATTGATATGGGTGTTGACGAGCTTTTGAAATACTGCCAAGAGGAAGACGAAGATGCAGAGAGGCAGGTTTCAGAAATCATAAATTTCCTACGAGAATGGTCCGTAGAAAATTCCATAACCTTGTTAGCTTTATCAAGGCTTGCTGCAGGCTTGAAGCAGCTCCACCCAACTTGTTTCGGAAATCTTCCTGTTGATGGACGCACTATTATGAGAACTCCGGTACAAAAGTTAAATATAGTCAAGGTTCCACCAGGTGAATGTGTACACTTAGGTGTTAGAAAACAATTGAACTTCATTGGCTCTATTCTCGAAGAAGAAGTTGAAGATTTAGGACTTCTCTTTAACATTGACGGCGTTAAATTGTACAAGCACACATCATTTTCACTCTACCCTATATTAATGATGGTGCAGTCTTGCAAGTCCCTAAAAAACAAGGTCTTCCGTGTTACCTTGTATTATGGTGAAGGCAGACCTGGTGATATGCGCCTATTTTTACAGCCTTTTATTGACGAAATGATTCAGCTCTTAACCTGCAATGATTTCCAATTAAAGGGAAGAGTAGTGAAAATATTCTTATTAGGCTTCTGTTGTGACACCCCTGCCCGTAGCGAAATTTTAGAAACTGTGGGCCATAGTGGGTTTTACTCCTGTTTCAGATGCGTGACGAGAGGTAAAAGCATAACACTTGAGCCGGGTAAAGGTAATGTTCGGGGAAAAAAAAGAAAACAAGGTGCAGGAACCAAGCGCAATTCAACCAAGAGAATTTTTCCAAGTGTTCAAGATCCTCCGAGAGAGGATATTAAATTTCGAAACAAAGAGTATCATGATCATCAACCTGCCAGGCGACCATTAACACCCTTAGTAGACCTGCCAGGCCTCCACTTTCCACGGTCTTTTATTCTGGATCCAATGCATTTGGTTTTCATTGGCGTCACAAAAAGTATCCTCTCTATTCTTTTCCTAGGCGGTCGACACATGCTGAGCCCTTCTTTACGACAGAAAGTCCAAAAAAAACTTGATGACTGTGCGCCTTATTTACCATCTGATTTTCCTCGTAAACCAAGCAAGATAAGAAATGTCGGCACTTGCAAAGCAGCTGAGGCTCGAATTTATCTATTTTATCTGGGACCGGTAATTTTAAGAAATTCTGTTGACCGTAACAAATATATCCATTTCATGGAACTATCTGTTGCCATGAGAATATATCATAATGTTACTATGTGCGCAAATGCTGAAGCAAGGAAACTTGCGAAAGATCTGGTCCAGCATTTTGTTACTTCAGTCCCAGAGTTGTATGGAGAGGAGTACTCATCCCACAATATGCACTCTTTATACCATTTACCCGACGACATCGAATGGTTCAAGGACAGTATCCCGGACTTTACTGCTAACGACATCAGTGCTTTCCCTCCAGAAAATTTCAATCAGGTCTTCCGTAGGTTTACACGAGGTTATGCTAAACCGCTTCAACAAAACTTCCGTCGGCTGGCAGAATTATTTGAAAGTGATTTCTGGCGGCAGAAGTACAAGAAGAGCATGGCTACCTCCGATAAGATTCAGTTTCAAAAGAATCATAGTGAAGGACCGTTACCATTGTTTCTAATGGGCCAACAGTACAAAAGTGCAATCTTCCCCTGCTTCTCGCTATCCACCAATCTAGCAGATTGCACCTGTGGAACAGAATGTGGAAAGGTCATCATCGCACTTAATTTTGTCGAAGATACAGAGAACAATGAACAATATGTTGTCGGGATGAAATTCGAAGTTAAATCTGAATTTTTTGATGATCCTCTTCCCAAAAGCGGGAAACTAGGGATCTATAAGGTCTCTAAACTTTCAAGGTCGTTGGACAAATGGCCAGTATCGTCCATTACAACAAAGTATGTTAGATTGCCATACGTCAAAGATGACAGTCTTCCTGAACACTACAGGAAAGAGGAATATATTGTACTTCCTCTGCTACACTCAGAGGCTGGTCCCTCAACATCCTAAATAATCCTTTTCACGATTTCCCAGGTTTGTGAATTTTTTAGAAATGCTTTCATAGATTACATGCTTCCTCAGTCATTCCCTTGCATGAACAGAGTGGTAAGAGCTGGGAAAGAATTTGAGAATATTACAGTATTCTTAGCATAGCAACTTTTAAACATTGCAAGTAAATAGAGTAGCTTCCTGCTACCTAATACAAAGAGTTAAGCATCTTTCACCTCAATACACAATCTCTCTATAGATTAAAGTAAGGTATATTCTGTCTTTTCTGCTATTAATGACCAAGCTGCTCTGGGAAGTCCAAAACTTCTTAGTATTTTTTTTTCTTTCTATCGTGCTTTGAGGTGAAAGTGTTTCTAATTTTCCAGTAAAATGAGAAAGCAATAATGAAATTTCCATGATAAAAATGCTTACCCAAATAGAAGCAAAAAAGGATTTTACCCATGAAAAGTGTCAATGATAAGGACTTCTTGTGCTCTCATAAAGTCTGTGCTACAAATTTTTCTAAAAACTTGTCTGTTTGGAACGGAATATTCATCCCTCAAGTACAATGTCTTAGCACCCACTTGCTGTATCTTTTTTTAAGTGTTGTTTGACTAAGAGATGTGAATGCTTTTCAGGACCTGAAATTGTGGACGCTCATAAAAATTTTGGATACAGGAGAATATGATGCTGTCCCCAATGTATGGATTACCGATAAGAAGGAGTGTTACTACCCTGACCCCGATAAAACGTCAACACAAATCATCGAGTCGCTGGCTGCCAAATGTGTTAAGCCACACACCACAGACCACGAATGGATTGTCTACAAAAAAATCGAGATCGTACAGTCAGATTATAGTAAGTTGTTGTTATCTGAAAAATTCATCCGCAAATAGCTGCTGCTGTCTATCGCTCTAAAAAAAAAAAGAAGAAAGGAATTGTAAAAATTCTGAAAAGTTTCAAGGGCGATACATGTTTTTAAAGCAATGCCAGATACACTTGTCAATGAGTCAATGATCCAAATAAATGAGTTGGTGACAGATGGGAACATTTGATTTTTCACTCAATTTAGTTTACAAAAACAGATATTTTAGACTTCTAGAAAGCTTAAGTAAGGTTTACGTATATGTTACGGTCAAAACCCGAAAACCGGGCAAATCGCGATGTGCCCGGGCAATACGCGATTANTTTTCGGGTCTTGACCGTAACATATATATTTCGAAATTAAAATAAAAAAAATTATCTCCTAACTATCTTGTTTGCCGAATGACTCCTCGAATTCGCTGAAAAAATAATATACTGCTTTAGCACTTCAGATTTCAAAAATATGTCTGGTGATCCCAAGAAACTGCCTTTACTGCCCTTGCAGGTAACTTTACCTCCTATGAATGAAACTTCAACTACGTGCGCAATCAAGGCTGTATCTTATGATCACCAGACCCATTTTTGACATCCTAAGTAGTTAATCGGCATACCATTGTTTTCAGTGTTTTAGCGTGAAGTGAGAACATCGGGTGAATATTCACTTTTGCCACTTTTTCCAAAATTCAATTTTTCTCCCAGAAAAATGCTTAAGGATACTACTTGTGGTCAGAAGAATAAAGGAATAAAGGCGAAAACGCTTTTTTCCAGAAAAACATCATATTTTAAAAAATTCTGATGCAAACATATCCATGGATGTAAAATTGCAGTACAACCCATTTGTAAGATAGGGATTGAGGAAGTTCATCCACATTGCTCTTGGCGTGTTAGCACGGATTCGAGAGAGTTGTTTTAGCTTTTTGCAACCCGTTCCAAATGAGACTTCATCCAAGTTTGCCATTACTGAATGAATAAAAAAAAAAACACACTAAGAACTTGATATTACTCGTGAGGGTCAACATTAACTGGAGAAGGTTGTGGATGGAGCATCATTTGGAAATGGGTGGTGGCCTCAGGTCCCAAAAAACTAAAACAACCCTCGTTGAGTCTGTGTTAACCCTCACGAGTGATTGCATTGTTGACAGCATAATTTGGAAAGATTTGGCGGCCTTCAGCTGCTTAAAACTAATGTAGCCTTCTCAAGTCGGTGCTGATCCTCACAAGTAAAAACAAAGCTATTTAAAATAGCAAGGTTGGTCATACTGCATAGCTCCCATCAACATTTATAGCGGACCCAGATTAAAGTGTCGCTCTATAATTGCATCCGTCAGAGACGTGTGTCCCTAAGGAGTCTTTCTTCACTGATGGTGTTGCCCAAGTAAAAATGTTCCTTGACTTTTTCCCAAGGAAATCAGAGTCATGGAATTTTCGGACAGAAAATTTTCCGTGACTTTGATTTCCGTGGCCGTGATTTCCGTGACCGTGATTTCCGTGACCGTGATTTCCATGATCGTGATTTCCGTGACCGTGATTTCCGTGGCCGTGATTTCCGTGGCCGTGATTTCCGTGGCCGTGATTTCCTTAAAGCTAGTTTCTGTGCTGTAGCAAGAAACTAGCTTAAGGTGAAGTCACCAGTTATAGACACCTTTAAGAGAGTTTCTATCTTTGACTGGCTGTAATATGTAATCCAAAGCTGCGAATTCAACATTTTTAGTCTTACATGAAAGTGTAAACCCTTTTTCACATAAATTTTATCTTATCCTTTCAATTTTCATAAACATTTAGGTTGAAAAGGTCGAAAAAGTAATAAATTCCAAAATGAGGGACTGCCTCAGTTATGGACACCCTGGGTCCCAGCTATAGACATCGTCTCTGCTCCGGTAACAGACACTCCCTTAAAATGTCATTACCTTAAATACAATAGGTACTGATTTTTGTGAAAAATTATGGGGAAAGAAACTTTGTACACATTGAAGGTATGATTCAAGAATGATATACTCCATTCAACCGTACTTTTTTGCCATTTTTATCTCAAAAATCTGAACTGCTTTTGAGGTTATAAACTTCAGTGTCTGTAACTAGGAATTACACATTTTCGGCATGAGTGACAGACACCGTTTTTGACTAAGGTTTTTGCTGCATTTAAAATGGACTGATATAAAAATAAACCAATTACAAAGGATTAATGAATTATTGACAAACATTATGGCATAACTAAATGATTTATAGGAAATTATTTATTATCAAATCCTTGAAGCTACGCGCGTGTCTGTCTCTGGTCGCTACCTCATTTTTGGCACCAGTTACAGACACCCCCATTAATTAAAATATTCTGACATCCAAACAACAAATAACCACAAAAACCACTCTATAAACCTCCCTCAACAAATAGTAGTATCAAAGTTACCTCAAAAGTAATAATGTATATCCATTTTTACTTCATTTCTAAACCGAGTTTCTTAACTGAACTGCTAAGAAATTAGTCGTTTTACATCATTTTAGAACGGCCAATTTAAAAGTATTCTTTTGCAATTTTAAATTCACAACAAATCCCTGCTTTGTACATCAAAATGCTCTTCAGAATGTCAATAATCTACTAAAAATATTAAAAAGCTCCTAGTTGTCTTCAAATTTTTATGTTTTTAATGTATATGAGAAGATGGCTGTCACTGGTCCTATTTTTTGGGGTGTCTATAACTGGTGAATTTACCTTACATGGTTTACCAAACCAACAAACCGAAGGAAAAAAATGCAGGATTGATTCAATTTCAAGGGCATTTTTGCATTTTACTTCATTTATTGACGGTTTCCCGTGACAAAATTGCATGCAAAAGGAAGATATAATGGGCATGACTCACCAAATTCAACTGATCCTTCATCAAAAATAAAACCTGTATAAGACACCAATGATGCTATTTACGCACACTTCACCACAGCGCACTCACTTTCATTTATTTTCTCATTAAGATTAGAGCAATGCATGTTAAAGGTAACTAATTGAACTTCACACCACTTCAAATTTTTTAACACATTTTCGGTCACACATAAAATTTTTAGGGAAACTGTAGGTAGGTACTATGTTTATTTTCTCTGAATACACTGCAACTTCTTTTGATGATGTTGTTTTGAGGCGATTCATGGTGAATTTCTCAAAACCAGATGATTTTTAGTCGCTGCTAATTTCCTATCGGATGACTGCTCAGATGAGAAACTGACAGCCATGTCATAGAATAGTAGCCGCTTTCTTAATCCAGAATGTAAGAAATCCAGAAAGAGGGAGCAAGCTGGAGTGCAGGAAGCCCTTCAAAAACCTGAAAAACAGACGAATAAACAGCATTATACAAGGCATGGTGACAGTTCAATGAGGTGACTTGTGATTGTTTAGCTCTTAGATTTTATTCATACTTGACATGCAAATTTTATCCGTTGAAAAAAAAAATTACCTAGATCTCAAGCTGTTTCATTTAAGTAGAACGAAATTTTAAAATAATCATAAAATTGCAGTTCTTTCAAGAACTACAAATCGGTGTAACTTCTCAATTGTTGATACCAGAGAATTTTTCTTAAAAATTAGATTTTTTTCACAGCTCTCTTGAAACTGAGGATTTTAATTTTTTGCCCTGTCTAATGTAGAAAACAGGTACCTAAGTGAAGTACAGGTAAGAGGAACACTTACCAAAACTGAGTTGCCGACAATTTATTATCAACCAGTTTCAGCAAATATTTAAACTGAGAAAAAGTAGGCATCTGAAATCGGACTTAAATTATCTTCTTTTCTTCCCCTCCAATCAAACACAACAATAATTGAAATTGTTACATCATTAACACATATCTCTTTGAAAATTGACCTTATAAGTTCCCAAAATTTAGGTTAGTGCAATGTAACATGATTTTTCTCATTTATTGTGCTCTTGGAAAAAACAAACATACTATTTACAGCACTCTAGTTCATTTGTGTAATAATGCCCTAGCATTCAGTACAAGTAAAACGGAGCCTGAGAGACGATAAACTGGCTCGCTCTGAACGCTTGGGTACTTTCATATCTTGGTCCTTACGCGCAGTTTAATGAAATGCTATTCCGATGTGATGATTGATCAAGCTTAAGTTTTACGGCAATCTACGTTGCTTTGGTGGTATAGTAAATAATCAAGGGACAAAGAGCCGGAGGCAGGGCTCACGGTCCTTTACGCTGACAGTGCTAAGTCATGCGAGTGATGTATTGAATATTCAAGAGGTATCGTTTTACATTCACTGAGAGAATTAGAAGAGGTTATGTGTTGGATCAACCTAATGAAAACGTGCCAGATAGTGTGGGTAATAAAAATAATAGAGAACGGGACATATCATCACTCCTAGGACAAATGTACGCAACTTTGTATTGTAGTGAGCCATAATGTTCATATAACTTGGTGCATACTTGCAGGGCTCGTGTGAAAATGGAGGTATGACCATAATAAAGAAGTGATGAGATGTTTTAATAGCGAGATGAGCTTGGCCCAACTTATTGAGTGGGACATTGGTCAAATCAGGACGAAGGTCTAAATTTGCGCACCTTTCTGCCATGATGGCGAAGACAGCCATAAGCGCATTTCTGCATGAGCCATGATTAGCACATGATGATTTTATTTGTCTTGAGGTACATCCCAGCCTGCACTTATCGCTCTCTTCGCTATCACTGCAGGGTTGTCTCATGAGAGTAATGGAGACTCAAACTTGTGAGACAAAAGTATTTCATGGTTTCCAGTGAGTCCTAAACGATACCTGCCCTCTCCATGTTTTCCAGAACGACTTTTCTTCTCATAATAATGACACTGTGGCAGGTATGTCAAATCATGTGAGGAAGTGAGAGCAGAAATTTCGTCGCTGGAGGGCGGAAGATCTCAGTTGATTTAGATCATTAATTTTGGGTAAGGTCCGTCGATCTACATTTCCTGAATGATATACTAACAAAATTTAAGTACTTACATTTATTTTTGAGGCTCTATTTGAAGAGAGACTGGAAAAATAGACCAACATCGTCTAACGGCTAACGGCTCCTTCAAGTTGCATCCTGAAAATTCCTCAACGTTGTACGCGGAACGCGGACGCGGATCATCGGACCAAAAGGGAATTTCGTTCCCGGAACACGAACTGAACTGAACTGAACTGAGAACTCGTGATAACAATTTGTAAACAAATCAAATCACAATCACAATTTTTCACCACTTCACCACTCACTACAGTTTTCACGAAGGAAATATGAAAATGAAAAAGAAATGATTTCGTGTATCACCTCAACAGCACGTAGGGCTTTCCCGAGATATATACCGAGGCTTTAAGGCGTAACCAGTCGAAGTGTTACACTTCGTTTCCTGAATATATTCCTTCCTATTATCAGTGCGAACAGCCAGCAAATTCCCACAGAATTTTATTATTACCGTTCTTCGTATGAGTTTGGAAGGAAATGTCTGTGATCGGCAATTGAAACATCCCACTGCCAGTGAGTAATTTTCCTTGTCAATCATCTCTCTTTTTTCTTCTCTGGAGGGCTGCGATCCAACTGTCATCATACTCATTGAACCTCCGTACCTAATTAGATTTAATCAGAGACTTTAATTTTCTTGCAATTAATGCATGAAATTGTCTCAATTAATTCACTAACTAGATACCTTACTTTACTGAAGAGTCATGTCAGGAAAGGATCAATATCTACTGATAGTCTGACCAGAATATTATCTCAACAGTGTTTACCTATGAAGAAAGAAACAACTTTTCTGGCTTATCTCAGAAATGATATTACCTGCAATTAATTTCTTCATGTAAGATAGGTGCTTCTGTAAATGCCATCATGTACTTGGCCATTTTTGATCAATTTTATCCTCTTATTCTCTACCGTTATCTCTAATATTAGTCTCGGCAAACAGTGAGCAAATCTTGATAATAGAAATGTTGATCATTCAATTTGATCATGATCTGCAACGGTATCTATAATATCTGATTTTCTGGATGGTTGTGCCTGTGCATGAGTGATTGTGTTACCTACTGTTACATGTGTATTATGTCTTGAAGTCTGGTTTTGATGGCCTCTCAAAAGAGGAGGAGCTGACAACAAGGTGTGAGCGCAAGTTGACATTTTGTAACTCACTGGCTGTTTCCCTGATTGTGAGTTACCTTGGAATCCTCAAGTGTGGAGAAAAGAGATGAGGCAATCGGCATTTTGTCTCTTTCCTCTATATTGCATGGGTCCAAGGGTCATGCTAGGTGAAGCGAGAACGAAAAGCATTTTAGCTCACACCATTGTATTTTTTTGTGCTGTCCCCGATTTGAGAAGAAACTGTGTTTAAAGGAAGTTATAAATAAATGAAATAACTAGGAGTTTGTCCAGCTGATGATTTAACACTGAAGAAGCATAATATACAGGGTAGTGTTAAGAAACTAACACTACCGTGGAAATCCTCCTAACGGTAAAATTTCTTTGTACAGCTCAGAACTCAGTAAATTATTATGAATAATGAACCGCTCTCTATTAGTTTAAACGAATATTTTTTTGAAGAAGAAAACCAAACCTTCTGCCCATTAACCACGAGTATTTCAAAATTGGTGTATCGCATTTGGTGTATGCACATATTAAGGTTAAATAGACTTTGCCAATCTGGCACCGCGATCCAAGTTCCATCGAGCAAGACTTAATTCAATAAATATTTGGTAATTTAAGAAGAAAAAAAAAAACTGAAAAGTAGGTAACAGATTAACATCTCATTTAATTGTTCGTGTAGTGCAAAAATTGATCATTTTTTTTAAATTGTAGATCAGATATTTTTTTTTTCAAAAAATAAAGTAAATACAGTACTTTTTTTATTGTCAGATCTCTATGAAAATGCCGAAAATCTTGAGTGGGAAATGTCAAAGACACTTATTAGTTTTGAAGAAAATTTCTGAGTCTTGTTCTCTACGGTTCAGAATAAAAACTATAAATGAGGGCTATAAAATGCGTTTTTATTTTTTATTCTGGTTTTCTCATTTTTTATTTTTTTAAATTTATTTGTATTTATTTTTTTCAAGCCCCCCCCCCAATTCTAGGCTATCATAAATTATGTAAACTCTTTTACTCGTGAGAACCAGTTTTTCAAGTTTGAAGTAGTTTCCATGACTGACTTTTCTTGACTCCAGGGAACTCGCCTGAGTTCCTTGACGGTATCAGGGAAATCGCGTCATTTCCATGACTGACGTTCCTTGACTCCAGGGAACTCACTTGACTTCCTTGACAGTGTCAGGGAAATCGCATCATTTCCATGACAGCCAGGGAAATCGCGTAATTTCCATGACTGACGAGTCAAGGAAATCATCCGATTTCCTTCACTGGTCCAAGGAAATCATTTGATTTCCTTCACTGGTCCAAGGAAATCATTTGATTTCCTTCACTCGTCCAAGGAAATCATCTGGTTTCCGTGACTTTTCCAAGGAAATCAAGTGATTTCCTTGGAAAAATGAAGGAAATCAGCTCATTTCCGTGACTAAGTCAAGGAACGTTTTTACTTGGGTGGCATCAGAATGTCGAAATACAATATTTTCCTACGAAGAAAGTGTCTCTGTAGCTGTTTTTACATTGTTCCGATCATCAAAAGTGTCCTTAATAAGTTTTTCAGGAGAAAAATTCAATTTTGGGAAAAGCAACTAAATTGAATATCTACCCAACACTGTAATAAATGCGACTCTATTTTTATCTGTAGGACTGATCCCTCTATTTTCTTTAAATGCTTTAAATTTTCTCCCTTTTCTGTGCAGCCAAATTCAGTGTTTGTTGCGGCGACATGGTCCGCAAAACTAAGGATAAGAGGCTTGCTGAAGAGAGTGCTGAAGAAATCGCGTTGAAAAAACGGAGAATCTCAAAAACTGCATCAGCATCTGCAGTGCCTTCATCACAACTCAAACCACAAACAACCACAAACCAACAACCACAAACAACCACAAACCAACAACCACAAACAACCACAAACCAACAACCACAAACAACCACAAACCAACAACCACAAACGACTCCGCTGAAAACCATTCACAAATCCAAGAAGAAAACCTCAAAAAGCCCGCCTCCAGCATCTAGTAATTTTATCTCAGGAAGCGCAAATAATTCTTTTGAAGGAAGCGAACGTTGTCCATGTAAGAAAGACTCGCATGAATGTTGCTGCGCTGAGCCAGCTACTTTAGAAAACATAGCGAAAAATCAGTGCCTGTTATCACGTAAGTTTTTATCTTATCTCAAAGATTGTTAAAAAGGCATATGGGCACTGTAGCGTCCGTAACATTTTGCTGTTGCATCCATATCAAGAAGAAAATAGAAGTAACTACCATAGTTGATTTATAAATAATTTCATTTATACTATCAAGTAAGTGTTCCAAATTCACCGAGAGCAACACAACTTTTTTACAATTAGCATGAGCGCACAGATTGCAGTTCCAGAACAGAGATAAAAAATCAGAGCCATTTTTGGTGTAGTGTCCGTAAGTTATTTTCTCTTCTCAGACTCCAGAAAAAGAATAGAATTTTCTTGACCCTTTATAGAATTTATCTGAAACTCTAGTCTACAATTTTTTTCAATTGTTGTACGAAAAACTTTGATTTTTATTCTTCATTTTCCAAGAGATAAAGCGCAGCCTCTGTAACAATAACCCCTGTCTGGTGAGTTGAATTTTCCACCATTTTTGTTTTCTTCTATCAGCACACATTGTTTAACAGTCCTGTTTGATTTTAGGTCGCCTGTTCAAATCCGAAGAAAAATCTGCCAAAAGGCATTCAGAAATAGTAAAGATAATTGATGCCCAGAAGCAAGTAACTAATACTACAGAATCAGCGGCCACTCCAGTAATTGAGCCAAGGCGTATAATCAAAAAGGAAGATGTGGATGCATCATTGTTGAACGACTTCCCCCTCACAAAGAAAAAGCAAATTCGGGAATGGAATGAAAGATTGAAGTCTCCAGAAACTGCAGATAAATTAGTTAGTGCGATCTTTTCTAGTCCTGATTTTTGGCTTTGTTAGTATTAAGTTCACAGTCTTTTTTTTTTTTTTATTTTTTATTTTGCAAGATCAGTCTTAATTTTTGGGTCATTCCATGTCAACTCAACGAGGTTTTGAACCTTGACCTCTTGGATTATGTTCAAACTTGGTGTGCTGTAAGTTCTTATCGAAAAAAGAAAAAAAAATATTCCCAAAATTTTAGGTCATTTGATCGCTCCGTCAAATTTATGTGGAATTTCAAAGTTTGCAAAAAATTGGGTTTTTTTATGGCCAGTAAAACTTTGAACGGTTGTTACTTTTCAACGGTTCATCGGTAAAACTAGAAATTGGTCTTGCTTTAAAGCTTAGAGCTTCTTCTTTTCAAAAAAAAAAAAAAGTGAAAAAACCGGTTTGGAAAATTTTGAATTTTCAAATTTGAATTTTTTGAAAAGGGCATTTTTTAAAAATTTGATTTTCTTTGTAAGTGACCCTTACATAATCTTAAAGCATTTCCCAAAATTTCAGTGTGGGCCGCCAAGCAGTTCCCGAGTTACAGCAATAAACGTACCGTAATCCCACTTAAAAAGCATCATACCTACATACAGGGTTTCCCAGACCACCCGCACTGCCCAAGATCAAGACCCTCTCCCCTTTACCTCCAAAGGGGGGCTGGAGGTGTTTCGAGGCCACGAAATTCGGATTTCTTGGGGTAGATTCTCTACTCCACCTTGTGATCCCCGACTTCGTCCGGCCCAAATCAATCGAGAAAAAGGTCTGGTACGGGCGCTCTGGGACACCCTGTATGTAAGGCATGATGCCTCTTAAGTGGGATTACGGTACGTTTGTTGCTGTAACTCAGGAACTGCTTGGCGGCCCACAATGAAACTTTGGGAAATGCTGAAAGATTATGGAAGGGTCACCTTCAAAGAAAATCCAATTTTTAAAAAATGCCCTTTTTGAAAAATTTAAATTTGCAAATTCAAAATTTTCCAAAAAATTTCCAAAACTTTGTTTTCAATTTTTTTTTTTAAAAAAAAAAAAAAGAAGAAGCTCCAAGCTTCCAAACAAGACCCATTTAAAGTTTTTCCGATGAACCGTTGAAAGGTAACAGCCGTTCAAAGTTTTAAGTATTGGTCATAAAAAAAAAACTCAATTTTTTGCAAACTTCAAAATTCCATTAAAAATTATCGGAGCGACCAAATGACCTAAAATTTGGGAAATATTTCTTTTTAATAGGAACTCACAGCACACCAAGTTTGAACATGATCCGAGAGGTCAAGGTTCAAAACCTTGTTGAGTTGACATGCAATGACCCTTTTGTTGATAACTTCAATTAATTTTGCGACCAAAGCTTACGAGATGGTGAACAATGGTTTCCTTGTTGGAATTTAGGGTATCAAAATTCATTGCTACCACTCACCTAATATCACCAACAGAACATTTGCACTCCT